TAGCTACTCTTCCCTCAAGGGTAAGTTTCAGAGTCTCTTCTGACATCCATTTTGGTCTTTCCTTTCTTTACCGTATTTTTAATGACCTCTTGCTTTCTTCATGGATGATGCTCTTGATGTCATCCCACAATTCTTCTGGTTTTTGGTCACTGGTGTTCAATGCATCAAATCTATTCTTTAAATGGTCTCCAAATTCAGGAGGAATATATTCAAGGTCATATTTTGGCTCTTGTGGACTTGTTTTAATTGTCTTGAACTTCAAGTTGAACTTTCATATGAGCAACTGATGGTCTGTTCCATAACCAGCTCCTGGCCTTGTTTTGGCTGAAGATATTGAGCTTTTCCATCTCCTCCTGTCACAGATGTAGTCCATCTGATTCCTGTGTATTCCTTCTAGCGAAGTCCATGTGCACAGCTGCTGTTTGTGTTGTTGAAAAAAGTATTTGCAGTGAATAAGTCGTTGGTCTTGCAAAATTCTATCATGCGATCTCCAGCATTATTTCTGTCACCTAGGCCAAAATTTCCAACTACCAGTGATTTTCCTTTGTTTCCAACTTTTGCATTCCCATCACCAGTGATAAGCAACACATCTTGATTGCATGTTCAGTCAATTTCATACTGCAGAAGTTGATAAAAATCTTCAATTTCCTCATCTTTGACTTTGGTGGTTGGTGCATAAATTTGAATGAACGTAGTATTAATGGGTCTTCCTTGTAGACGTATGGATATTTTCCTATCACTGACAGCATTGTACTTCAGGCAGATCTTGAAACATCCTTTGTGATGATGAATGCCACACCATTCCTCTTCAATTTGTCATTCCTGCCATAGTGGATGATATGGTTTTCTGATTCAAAATGGCCAAAACCAGTCCTTTTCAGCTCACTAATGCCTAGGGCATCAATCTTTATGAATTCCATTTCATTTTTGACAACTTCCAATTTTCCTAGATTCATATTTCTTACATTCCATGATCCAATTATTAATAGATGTTTGTAGCTGTTTCTACTCAATATGAGTTGTGCCATGTCAGCACATGAGGTCCTGACTTACTTTATCCATATCATTAAGGTTGGTTCTACTCTGATGAGGCAGCTCTTTCCCAGGCCTATGTTGAGTGCCTTCCGACCCACAGGACTCTTCTTCCCACACTGTGTCAGACAATGTTTCCAAGCTATTCATAAAGTTGCCCAGTATTGTATCAGACAATGTTTATCTGCTATTCATAAGGTTCTCCCTGGCCAATTTTTGAGAAATGGATGGCTTCCTCCTTCTTCCTATTCTGTCTTGTCTGTAAGCTGCTTTGAAACCTGTGCACTATGTGCAACTCTGCTGGTGTCTGAAACACCAGTGGCACAGCCTCAAGGCTCACAGCAACATACAAGCCCCACAGGATGACAAACTGACAGACAAGTCTGTTTCCCTTAGCTGTTGGAAACCTCTGTGCCCTCCCCTTACTTAATTCCTACCTGGAACCTGCCACTTTATGGTCCCTGGCCACTCCCTCCCTTTTCTGGCTCTAGGGGGTTTGGGGCCTAGCCTTGCCTCCTGCCCCTTTTTACCTGGATATCCTGCCACTCCTGAGCTCCCCAGTCTCTCCTGCTGCCTCCCTTTCCTGGCTCTAGGGGGATTGGGGCAGAATAATATAAGGATAAAGAAATAGTAGTATAATGGGAAACAGAAAGTCTAATTCCACCAATTGAAGTGGTAAAATACTTTGTAGAAAATACATTATATTTAAAGTTTTTTTTTCCTAAATCAGAGAGGTATCAAAACTTTTAAATACTTTCTTCTTAGCACTATGGAATTCAAAATTAATAAGCTCTGAACTGCGATAATTTACAAGAATAAGGAGCTGAATGATTCTGTGCCCCTCAAATAAGATATCAAACATTAATTTAAAAATATGTTTCAAAATTTTTCTGCAGTATGTTTCTTGTTTGATACTAAGAGGATTATGGACTACTGTGCTTTTAAAAAATATAATCCCTGACTATTTTTCTGTATCATCTTTCTTAAGTTTTTATTTTTCATATTTTCTTCACTGGTAATGAATTTTCCTTAAAAAAACATTAGAAAATATAAACAAGTAAAAAGGAAGAATACTATTACCTAGATATCTGGTGAGACATTTCATATATTTATATTTCATATATGTGTGTATGTGTGTGCATAAATATGTATATATTTTTGTTTATATATATATATACACACACACACACACACACACACACACACACATATATATATATATGGTGGAGTGAGTGGATATATATATGTGTGTGTGTGTGTCTATATATATATACACACATACATACATATATATATAAAATACACACACACACACATATATATATGCATGTATATATATATATATATATATATGTGTGTGTTGTTGTTATGTGCCGTCGAGTTGGACCCGGCTCATAGCGACCCCTCCTTGGGTTTCCAAGGCAGTATCACTATGGAAGTAGATTGCCCCATCTTCCTTCTGAGGAGTGGCTGGTGGGTTTGAACCGTCAGCCTTCTGGTTAGCAGTCAGCCACTCCTCGGAAGGAAGATGGGGCAATCTACTTCCGTAGTG